CAGAGTTTTTAAAAACTTTTTGCGTTGTGATTTTCAGCATTATATTATGAACCTAGATATTAGTACAATAAAACAGTCAGAAAGAGACTCTGAATAACTAACTATGTACACATACTGGATATGAAGAAAGGAAGAACTGGAGTCCTCTTCTCTCCCCTCCGCAGCTCGCATGCACAGCCACCACTGTTAAGCACTTTAAGACATACTCCCAAAGCGAAAATTGCTATATACATGTAACCTGCATTGTATTGTATAAACACAGGAAATAGGAATAGGTTAGTGTGTGGTACATTGACTTAAATCACCATTGGATTTGTACCTGATATAACCAAGCTCATGGAGTGTTTGCGTGAGTTGCAAATGGTTTACTGGCAGTATCAATTACAGAAAAGTAGTTACCAATCCAGAGAACAGAGTAGACACTTACAGGAGTCTTCTTTTTTTAAATGGTATTGTCTTTTAAGCGCTCCCAGGCTGCCCTGCATGAAAGGCCCTATATGAATGCAAGTTGTTGTTGTCTTTATTCCTGTGTCTGTTACAAACTTAGGCTTGATAGCGTCTGATATTTATACACAGGAACAAACAAGATTTTGCGATTTCAAAACCATCTGGTTTTGTTCACAGATACCATTTGCTTGTTCTTTGCACCCGAGCTGCAGGCTGGAGTTAAGGAGGGTGGAGGGCAAGGGGGGTGGTGCTAGGAAGATGACCAAAGGTGCGGTCGAAGAGGAAGGTCTTGAGATGGGCCTTTAAGGAGGCAAGGGATAGGGCAAGGTGAAGGGGCTCCAGGATGGATTTCCAGAGGGTGCCGGCATAGAGGCGAAAGACAAGTTGGTAGGGTAATAGGAGGTCACAGAGAACAGGACCGTGAAGGTGGAGCTGAGAGGAGAGGCAATGGAGAAGAATAGAGCAGTCAACAGCGTCAAACGCAACAACAATAACAAAAAATAACATTTGTATAGCACCATTCACGTCAGGAGGACGTCCCAAGGTGCTGGACAGATACTGTGGGCAGGGTGGAAATCAGATTGAAGAGGTTCATTCAGGATTCAGGGAGTGGCAGGAGAGGAAGGAGTGAAGCAACGACTTGTTCCAGGACCTTGGAGGGAAAGGGAAGGTTAGAAATAGGACAGTCACTACACTTTACAATATATCTAGTGAAGTGCTTTGGGACGTCCTCTTGATGTAAAAGGCGCTATACAAAATGCAAAGATTATTATTAATGTGTGTTGCTTCTTTTGTGTTTAATATGTTTTAATTGGTCTGAGAATAGGAAAATACTGTGAGAAAAATCCAAACTAAAATATTTGTAATTTAATATTTTATTTCAAGCTTAATTTCAGTAGTGTATAAATAATGGATATTATACCTGTTGCTATCAGTTACAATTTTGCTATTTTTTGTAGAGTGATTCTTCCATATCCTTTAAAGCTGTTTTGTGTTTCCCCAATGCTGTACTTCAATCAGATTATTATTGTGAAACACATCCATTTATAATGTTGTGAAAGGAGCTCATTCATTTTCAATGTGGCATTATGCTGCCATCTAGTGGACAATACTCATCAAACCCTAATCAGAATAATATTTATATTGTATTTGATATAGTGCCTGTAACATCAATACATCTCATATTGATGCATTGCTGTAAAGTGTAGTAACTGTAATTGTAGGCGAATGTGAGAGCCAATTTACGTACAACAATGTCCCACAAACATCCAAGCCTGGTCTCTCACCAAACTTGCATAATACCCTCCGGAATTAGGTCTTCATCCCTCTGGGGAAAGAGTGAACCTTCCATTCCAGACTCAGGGAAATTTATCATGGTTTGGAAACACAGCGATGGGTGTCTGAATGTGAAGGATTGCTGGCTGACCAAAAAAAAATTCACAAAATTTGAGTACTTTTTTTAAAAAAAACTTTTGCATTTGGTTTCATTGCATCAACAGGTTTTCCCTATTTTGACTTAAACATGGGTAATTCCAAGAGAAATTCCTGGATTTTAGAAATCTGGGAAAGTGACCTGAATTTACCATGTTCAGGTCATACAGAAATATCCCTAGATAATCTAGAGTAAGTGATACATACATGTGTGTACTGGAATTTTTTGTATTCACTTTTTTTAAAGAATTCCCTTGCAGNTTTTTTCCCCCCCACACAGGCTCTGTACATTTTCAATTATGACTTTCAATAAGTAAATGTTCATGTTTAGGAATGTTTTCAAAAATCTATTCACACATAAAATGTCAGGTTTTTTTCATCAATTTTAATATATCAAAAATATTTTTAAATGTTACAATTTTTCATCTTCGATTGTGAGAACTCTTTTGGATTTCTGGGATTGATTCGGTGTTCTTTCCCTGACATATGTCATTAAGTCATTAGGATCTGAAATAAAGTCCACCCAGAAACCAGTTTAGACGCAATTTGTTTTTTCTGTGTATTATGGAGACAATTCAATCATTTGGACAATCCAATGGTCTTGTTCTGTTGTCTGATTATTGCAGTGGGTCACATAAAATAATCCTTTAATTTGATACAGTACTTCACACTAATGAACTGTATAGTGACTGTATATTTTGTAGGCAAATGTGGCAACCAATTTACAATAATCAGCCTTTAAGCAAATAACCAATTTTTATAAGGACAGCTTGCCAGGAATACTGGGAGAAATTCCTTTCTCTTTTAAAATAGTCATCCATCCATCCATTTAACATCTATCTGAACAAGTAGATGGACCTCAGTTCAAACAACTCATCTGAGGGACGGCACCTCAGACAATGCAACTTTCCCCCAGTGCCGCATTGGAGTGTCAGTGTAGACGATAAGTTCAAAGTTCCAACTTGAACCCACGGCCTCTGTCTTAAAAGAGTGCAATCAATTAAGCCAGGCTGATAAAATAATTACACCATTGCACGAGATTCAAAGCATTCAAGGGGTCTATTTTGTAATGTTGAGACGCACAATTGGGGACTCTTGGTAACTAAACCATCATACTAATCCACAGGAACTCTACTTAATCTACTTTTGGAGCAGAGTTCTTGCATGTCACCAGGAATTCTGAAAGGATTTCTTATGAAGAACTATTCAAACATACCACAGGTTAGGCCCCATTGACTCATGCCTCCCTGCAAAAGCAAGTAATGTGGGTTAATTGAAGTCTATTAAAAAGAGCGGGTTAGAGGAACACAAGGATAAATACAGATGGAGATGGTTCTATAGAGTATAATGTTTCCTGTGCTACTGAGACTGGAGAAATTGTCATGCCAATGTAGAACATTGGCAGCAACTCTGTCACTGTATTTTTATGGTCCTATGAGACATAAAAGGGTGTGGGCAAAGCTTCATGAGGCTAAACAGAGAGCTCTTTCAAACAACTACCCCAGATATGACGGGTTTTATCTGTGCTGTAAAATTCTATGGTTTCAAGAGAGAATTGAGGATTTCCAGTATTTAAAGCAGCATTCAACTGTACATCAGTCATCTTTAGCAATGGGACAAACCGAAACATCGGTTTTGGAGTTGTATTATTCATCTTGCTGTTATTAAAATCCGATGTGAAAGATAGGACAAAGATAAAATTAGGCAGGCAAGTGAAATCTGTGTCCTTGGAGTTCTAATTTCAAACTCGATGACAACAAACAATAGTCAAGGGTTTTTGGACTCAAGTCTTTTCTTGGTTAGGTTTTTAACTCTAAAACTTGAGTTGGTTTTCCTCAGAAATTGTTCAGTTTTAAGAATCAGTTTGCGTTTAATCAACAGAATTCCCAGCTGCCAGGCTGTACTGTTTTTAAACCGTCCATGCCAAATCCATCACCATCAAGGCATAAGTTATTTCAAACCTTGTTTGCTACATAACAACACTGATCTCCATGCTTTACAAGGCAATACTAAGATCGTGTGAAGTTGTATTGGCAATATAAGATTGTGAAGAACACAACCACCACATTTATATAATTCCCTTCACACTGGATTGACTGGGAGTGCTGCCCAGTGCCAGGGTTGGACACTGAGCAAGGGAGAAGGGGAGAAGACCATAGGCACGATTGAAGAAGTACGTTTTAAAGCAGAATTAGAATTCTAAAGTAAAATTAGAGGTGAGGCAGGAAAACTGAGGCAGAATCCAGTGAAGAAATAACACATTGGGTTCTAAAATGTAATATATGCAAACTGTATTTGTTGTGTTAATTGTGACTAATGCTTTCTGGAATTTGCTGTGCAATTATCAAAAAGGCAAACTGTGAATCCCAAGGTATTAAAGTCTGAAAAAACAGCCAATGTGCAAAACATTCCCACCTGCCATTGTATCTTTTTTCTGCTGGGTAGGGACTTTGCTGTTTTGAGATTTTCACAAACTGTAAATCGAGATTAACACAACACATCCCATTAGCAACCAATGTCTTTTAGATCCCATTGGTGCAATAATAATGTGTTATCCTGACATAGGTACAGGAGTACATTAACTGGCTAGAGTATTGGGCATTGTACTTTGTACACACACAAGTTTATGCTTCAATACTGCATGTACCTGGGAGAAGAGGAAGAATTTTTTTTAAAAGTCATTACACTCTGCAGTATATCGTGTGAAGTGCTGAGACATCCTCCTGACGTGAAAGATGCTATACCAAATGTAAGGATTATTATGTCCCTTTGTTTCCTCTCGCAGGAAAGTACAGTGAAATTAACAATCTTAATTTCAATACAGTTTGATCTATTTAGATGTTTTAATGAAATTAATGTTCTGTCAGTCTGACTCAACACTCAGCCCATATTTGCTGATCATAAACTCTGGTTTAGGATTTACAAAGACAATGTCCTGAACTGTTGTAGTTTCCAAATGTACTCACACAAGGTTTCTTAAAGGAATGCTTGAATAAGTCTGTATACAATTCCTTTAACTGTATGAGGAAACTAAGTGTATTCATTACACTAATCCCCCGCCCCAAGGCAAACCGATAAATCCGTTCATAAAAAGTTGAGTCATTGCTAGGGTAATACTAAAATGCTTTTAAGTTTTCTTTAATGAATAAAATTGGGGAAAAATTATATTCTACAGTTAAATGTTCAAAAGGATATTTTTACATAGTTTTAGTTCCATAAAAGTCTGAAAGTATATCCTCTCCCCACTCCCCCACCCCCAAAAGACAGTCATTTCTAGACTGGCAAATGTTCTGTTGCACGAGTCTTGGTATAAGTATATAAGGCATTACATTTTAAAAAATATTCCCAAGTAAAATGCATTTCTAACAAAAGGTGGCCATGTAAATCATTCGAAAAGCAGTCAACATATTAGTTGAAGTTCACACAAACATGCTACGAAGGATAGTTTTCAAAAAGAATAGCTTAAGCACAAATAAATTTTAGTGGCATTTTGGCTGCAAATGACTGGTATTCTGCTTGTGCACCACTCTAATGTGCTTCTGGAGCAAGTTTGTGTTTGTTAAATTAAAAATTGGTGCTCTTTGGCAATTTTTAAAAATAACTAAAAACTTAGGTAAATTTGATCTGGCCCAAATTTAGGACAATACTTCAGCAAAACTTCAAATCTTGGAAATCTGATAAAGGGTCCAACATGAAACTTCAACTCAATGTTCTCCTATAGATACCAATTGAGCTGATGTGAATTTTCCATTTCCCGTTTGTACATCAGGAGCTGGATTAGCAACTAGATCCACATAACTTGAAAGTTCCCATAAGGACGCTTCAGTTGATAGTGGAGAGGTGAAACAATTCCAGAAGATTGCTTAAAAGATAAAGTAATTTAAATTTATGGAGAGTACAGACCAATGCTTAGAGTTTATGATCACAAAGAATTATCGCACTAAGCTCTCCCCCCCACCCCACCCCTGGGACTCAATTTCAAAAAGGAAAAAAAGAATTCCAATTTACTTACAACATATTCCTATATAGCTTATGGATAAGTTTTATTTTATTAAAAGTAAACAATTTTCTAGATTAAGATTTTATTCTTGAAATCTAAGTGATGATAGGGAAAGGAATGAATGGTTACATTTTCTAAGTGAAAATGTGGTCCGGGGTAGGGGGGAGAGAAGAGGTGGATGTGAAAAGGGAATTCATTATCAACTGCTTGTTTTTTGGGGGGGAAATAGAAAAGTGTTGCTTTTAAGTGTTAAGATTTGTAAAAATATTGTTGATGAATGTATTGGCAGAGAAAATGCTACAGCCTACATCATTATCTTCCTTAAGTGAAAGTAAAGACAAACGAAATCAAGTCGGAAGAGATTTTCATAAGAAATTGGCGAGCATATCAATTTAAAGTTTTCAAAACATCTCAAAATAATTTAAATCTAGGAATTTAAAATAACCTGATTTATAAATGTGCAATAATGTTTTACATGCTAGTTCTTGTGAATTTTAGTAAAACAAAATCTGAAATGAAAGAGGGTTTAAAGATACTGAGGTAAGAATTCACGAGCAGAAGCATAACCAGTTCTGAACTGACGAGGGGAGGAAGCAAAATATTCTGTTAAGTCAGCTGAAACCGGTTTGAAGATAGAGGTAACAAGCTTGCATTTCAAACAAGACCGAGTTGTTACCTGAAAAGATGGAAAGTAAAACATATTTTGGGTATTAGGAATCAAATCATGAATACTGTGACCATGATGTATGGTGTCCATGTTGGAGGGGATGGGGAGGGGGAAAGAGAAGACTATTTTGAATTTTATAACCAGTGATACCACTATCCAGTGCTCAGATTAAAATCAGAGTAATTCCCTTTTGGTGCCGATACTGCTCCTCAACCCCAACCTTATTGAATGTCTTTGAATTTCTGATACATTCCGAGGTGGTTCTATGCAATAGGGTCATGTGAACGAAGAGCTGAATCGGGACTGTTCAAGCCGATTACTCTCATTTCCTGAACAGTTGGGAGACAGCAGAATGTCCATCCCACTTATCCAAGCTGGAATTTATTTTGATGTCTTGGGGAGTGAGGCATTATTGATATAACGTTATACTGATATGGATATAATTCCCCAAAGCAAGCATCATTTTAAAAAACAGTAAAGTTCATCTTCAAAATTCACATTTTTGAACTTTAGGGTGTGGATCATGTTCTTATACAGATAGAAATAAATGAAATTCAGCAGATATAGAATTAATTGCAACTGTACATCATTCAAGAACTCAAGGCATTATAACAATGAACAGCTCCAAAACTATCGAGATGAAACTCAACAATGAACTTCCATCAGCTGCGGTAGGTATGTGGACATAAGTTCTAATCATTTTTCTCACTCAATTTTGATACATGAAAGTTCTGTCAATTCAGATTTTGTATCATGTTACCCACTATATATTATGGCAGAGATTCAGCATAATATTCTACATGACGGGAATCATCCATTCTTAAATCATGTAACAGGTACTCAACCTAGTTCCACATATCATTATATCACAATAAAAAGGAGCAACTTACAAGTTACAATACCGAGTACCATAGACCCAACACTATCCTTCAATAAATCTGAACACCTAATCTGCCATATGGACATGTGCATGATAGTAATGTAGGTATCAAACAATGGGATTACAATTTATAATGAGAAAATCAGATCAAAAAGATTAAAGGTTGTGTTTTACATTTGCAAGAATGGAAGGTACACAGATCATGCATTTTAAGAGGAGCATTCCTTCATAACAGACAATAAAAATCCTTAAATTAACTCAAGTTATTCCTGATGAATGATTATGAACAAAAGATCAGCATCTTTACGTTTAAGAATGCCCACTATATTTAGGACATTGCGGACTTGATTTTCATGAACCTGTTATTTTAGTCAGGATTTTCCCTTTCCTTGTGCCAAGGTAACCTGAAAGCAACAGTGGCTTCAATGTGATTCATGCAGAGTTTGTCCAGACAGCAGGCCAGTCCTACTAATGCAATTTGTGGAGCTTCGCAATTCTTAAAATCCAAAGTGCAACAAGAGCAATGCTGCTAAAATGTTTAAGATTTTTGCATCTACCAATACACACAGTAGTCGTTCAGTGCCTGATGATCTGTGTATGGAGGAATGCTCCTTTAAGTTATGAAATCAGTGTCTTACATAAAAAGCAATCATTGTGCATTATCCAATATGGCTGCAAAATAAGGGTTTTCCACTCTTAGAAAACATGCTGAATTCCTGCAGCCCTGACATTTCAGAATGTACGACTTTGAGCACAGAAACCAGCATGCACCAATTAATATAACAAAGATTACCTGGGTTCCCAACTCAAATAATGTTCTCTTCTAGCAGATATCAAGTTAAAAGTTTCACATTTTAATATACTGTAATTAGGATGCAATAATACTGAATTAACTTATTTGCTGCTATTATGCACTCAGATGTTGACATGCGGTTGCTTCATGTTAATGTTTGCTGTAGCTTTTGCTTTAATCTGCACAATCCTATAATTATTTAGGTCTCTTAATGTTGATTCTAAATCAATTTTTCTACACAAAGTCCACATACCAAACATAAGCATTTCTGGCACTTTGTGGTCTCTGGATTACTTCATAGAATTCTTATCCGATATCATATGGAAAAGGGTAGGCTAACTCAGATTCTGTACTGCTTATAACCGTACTTCTGGTTAAACATTGGCATTGCATTGCAGCTTCAAGCTTGGTAAATAACTGCATTGCTAGTGCAATCCTAGACTTGGCCAGCAGAGACTGCACAGTCGTCTTTCAGCCCGTTTTTTGATTCCACGCAGAAGATAATTGTCACTGCACAGTATTGGGAATTATAGCTTCAGTGTAGTGCGGTTGAGCTTTGAAACTGAATGCAGAAGGTTAAACTGGATTCCAGGGGCTTTGATGAGCCACAGCCAGGTGGCATATTCAATCCTGAAGAAAATCAGAAAATCACTGTGCATTACTTCTACAGTCAGAGTAGCATAGAACTTCACAAAACAATTCCCCCTCAATTGGTAAAGATTAGAAAAAGCATTTTCAGCCTGTGAAATTTGCCTTCTTTTTTTTAAAAAAACACCTTACAACTGAGTTTTTACACCAATAAATCTGGTTTCATTAATAGAACATCTTAAGAGCTGCTGTCAATGTCACACACCAGTGAAGTCCATGCTCAGTGAAGAGAGGCAATTTTTTTCCTAGCAAGGTGAGAAAAGTTTGAGTTAATGTACTGTTGTGTCTAACAACAGAACTTTCCTTTTCAAGTTTAAGCTTCAATGCAGGTTCATCAGAAAGAGTTTACTTGGATTGTTAATCACTCAATGCGAAAGGAGCCTGGGTGTCAATTCAAGTCCCAGAAATTCCCAGCAATCGAACACTCACAAAATGTCACATCTTAACCCAAAGGGTTAAAATATGTTTAGAGGCCATATGTCATGTCTCAAGACTAGGCAGACATTGTGTTAAAAATTGTGGTGAGAAAATGGATGGGGGCACATTAGATATCTCCATCAAAATACTTATGCATGACTTCTCAAAGGCTGCAGTGAACTGTATATGAAGAGTTTGATAGAATTTTCATTTTACATGTAGTGCTGACTGTAACACTTTATATAGGCCATTCTCAAGAGCACACAATATTTTATCAAATACTTCAATTTATGAATACTTGAAGCATACATTATATTCAAATGTTGAACTTATTCTCATTCATCGCCATTTTTATTTATAGACATTTGAAACTGGCTAATAGATTGAGTGGTTACGTAAATGACAGGTTAGATGTGTGAGATAAGTTACCACCCACATTTGCTCAATGCTTACAGGATGGACTCAGAGAACATTTGAAAAGACAGATAAATGGCTGGCCTTAGGAATGAGTTCATATTCATTACAGTTAAAGCAAATGTAAAGTGACAGCAACAAAATAATTGAAAGATAGTTTTTACTATCCCTGTACTCCACCGACCGCATTTCTCACAATTATTTGAGCTAGACATCAACCATTGTACATAGAATGGGGCCAAAAACTACACATCATCTTTTAGGGGAAGCAAGATCATGACAATTCAGTGAACACCGCAGCAACATTTTGAATGCATTTTAGAAAGTTATTTTGTATAATCCAAAACGTATCGCAGATTCAATTCTGTGAAAAATCCACCACTTCACGATGTGGTGGGAGGGGGGAGAACCTCAGATAGTTTTTGTTTCTTGAACAAAAAACAAGTTCCAGATTCTAAAAAAGCCCTGATATGTCTAAAGTCTAAAAAGAATTGGGGAAAGAGGTAAATGGGGATGGTGGTCAAATAAATAGTTAGACTTGGTCACAAACTTTTAGGAAAAAAAAGTTACCCTTTTTTTGATGGTGTACCAAAGAAAAACACTCAAGACCTGTTGGATGTTCTCTAAGGGCTAAGGGCTGATGAAAGAGCTGCAATGTCAGACAAAACATTTACAGGTATCGAGGCAAGTAGGTAGAGTATTTTAATAAATTTAGTGGATCGGCATTTTATTAGTGTAAAAACTCAGCTATTCCACCATACTAGTATATATCTTGGCATTTTTAGGGGGTAGAAGCACTGAATTTCGAATTTAAAAGAACATAATTTAAACTCCTTCACACACAGGTCTGAATGGAGATCCGCTCTGTGTTTGGGCTGGTCCCACACAATAGTTCCCTTGAGCAGTGTGGTGATTCCATAGACAAACTGTGAACAGACAAATAACTGCTGCTGCTTCGGTCCTTGACACCCCCAGGCTCAGTTTCAATGTCCACGTGGACCTCGATGTTTTTTCCTTCCCTGGAATAGAAGCAATATTTAACAAGTTAGCAAAAGCTGCAACAACTTTGCAGGATGTGTTAGTTTTGTGCATGAAGTGCATACAGAGTGGGTGGAGAAGTGGGTCCATTTATGGAACGCTCCCTTTCCCTGGTCTTTGGAGTGAGGTCTGTCACCCCTGCCCTTGGCCTCTTGACAAAATTTAGTTTAGGTCTTGAAGATGGAGGTTTAACAAAGATTTGGTCAGGTAATGGCGCACGAGAAAACTAGGCTTTGCAGTTCAAAAAAAAAACAAAAAAGAGAAAATATGTTTCAATATGATAGCATTTAAAGGATTATTCATAGATGCAATGTTCAATTTCAAATTGACACTTGAAATGGCATCCTGACTGTCTAGATAGACAGTGTCAGTGATGCAAGATGTACACCGTCTATTTTTGGCCAATTCTAATAGCGTTCCACTTGACATTAATACACATTTACCTGTTTGAGGCATCGTGTTCTGTACTGAGCATGCTCCCTGCTAATGCCACAGTGCTTGCCGATTGGTCGTTTTCTAGTTTGACGCCTGCTCTGTCTAGATTGCTGCCGCTCACACTCAGTCCACTGGTCACCTCTTGAACACTGCTTCCACTAATGCTGTGGTTATGTAGTCTTGGTCTTGGCTCATTAACTGTTGAGAATTAAAGGATCAATAATCAATACAGATTAAATATATTAATATTGTAGTTAAGAAACTGTCACTTCTGATTCAGGATTCCTCTTAAGGGTTTGAACAAATTGCTCAATCTGTAACATCCACCCTCCAGTTTACTTATCGAGACACTATTTAAATTGTTTTACGTAAAGACCGGGGACGAAAGATGCCGTCTGATCAATGAAGCTTCCAAAGTAGAAAGAATAAATGAAATTTGTATGAAAATGTTGAAACTATACAGGGAAACATTGTTATAATAATAATCCTCGCATTTGATATAGCGCCTTATCACGTCTTCGAGAAGTCTCAAAGCTCTTCACAGAATATACTGTAAAGTGAATTGACTGTACATTTTTTGGTGGGCAAAACTATCATTACCAATCTCCAGTCGTAGGTGGAGAGGTGAGGCTGCACCCTTTGACCTTTGCCAGCCAAGGTTGGCCATTGGCAGATCTTTCTAAAATTGTCCTAATTTTGGTAGTGGGTGTGTAAAAGGGAGGGGGTGGGGTAAGAGTGGAGTACTGGTGCATCGCCTCCTCCACTTCAAAATGTCTTTTGAGCCTTATAATCTCACAAGGACATACAGAAACAACTAGCAGAAACAAACGTTTAAAGACCGACTTGCAACCCAGCAGATAAAATGTTGCAAACTATTTTAAGGGTGTATTAGAGTTCCAATCCTTCGGTTTGGGATGGGGGTGAGAAGTCAGTGGAATTAAAAATAACAAATACAGCTGTAAGTGACTGGTCTGACATGTGCTAATAGCCAGCTGTATTGAGCAATAATAGCAGAAGCAAGGGAAAAAAAACCACGTCATAGTGAAGCTTGCCAAAAAGTCAGATGCCAAAGGGGGAAGCGGTACAGAAAAGATTTTGTTGTATTAAAATGCATTCTTATTGCAACATAAAGTGAAAAATAACACGACTTAATATGTGATATCGACAAAGAAAATTTTTAAAATTCTGTAATTTAACCCTAAAAACAGTTTTCAAAATATTCAGTTTGAATTAGAGATAGGTTCATGGAACCACAAAGTTGGGTGCAAATGTGGCTACCACTTTTTGCCTGAAACTGGACAGCTTTGTACTTTAGAAAATTTATATTCTGCGAGCACACACAACACCATTGTGTCTTGCTAGACATGCAAAATAGTCACAAAATGCAAAATTAAATTAGTGTTTTATTTTAATTAAAATATTTTAATTAAATTACTGACCAGCTAAATTAGCATGGCCTTCTCTCTGCTTTGCTGTGGTTAACTGTTGCAGTGCCGACACATCTGACAGAGGTATCAAAGGTTCTATAAAGAGAGCTTGCTGTGCTTTTAAATTAGTTAATAATCTACTTCAAATGTCTATCCAATGTGGATAGGCCAAAAGTTATATAAAAGTTGGTCACGTTGACCTTACCAGAAGCAACATCTTCATCTATTTCAATCTTCACTCCTTTCCCATTTGCAGTAGTAACTCCACACCAGTCACTGCGACACAGAGATACTGGGACAACACCATAAACATAGGCAAGCATGATTGGTACTCCAATACCTTAAAACAACAAGTTAAAAGCAGAATTAGAACTTCATATTTCAAAAAAGTGAAACAGTTAATTGTAAGGAAAAACACTGTACAGTTATAAAGACTGTTTTAAAAAAAGAAAAAAATAGCAAAATATTACTTTGATGCAATGGGTGCACAGCAATATGACATGAATTTGTGATCAATAAACAGCGAAGACTTATATTCTTATAATATTTAAGAAATAAATCTACTTTTCATTGATGCAGCTCAGTTTAATGAACACGTTCAATGTTATAGTTCTTCAGTTTAACCTTACCCACTGTCACAGCAGCTAAGACTGGGGATACAATAATGGACAAAACTACTCCTCCAGCGACAGCAAGTCGTCTCCTGTGTTTTGATACCTTATTATTTTCACAACGGCTGTGAATCTGAAAAAAAGTGCACAGGAAGTACTTTTTAAGTTGTTAGCTTATTCAAGTGATTAAATATTTCTTCAAGTTTATTCTGACCATAGTATTAATATTATGTAGTTCCTCAGAAATTCAATCAGTAATGGGAGGGATCAGAATCCAAGGATTAGAAGCAATGACTAAACAGGTAGATTTAAAATTTCTTTAGCAAATGAGGAAAAAAATGCTACAGAAATTCAAAATGGAAGAAGCAATCAATCGTTTTGCCCAGGTTTTCTTTACTTTTTTCCCTACTTTGAATTTACCTTTCTGCATTGTGATGTATATTGCAACAGATATGGGAGCAGATTGCACAACACAAATCAGAGTCTGGTACAGAGAAAGGACATGGGGATAATGATAGTTCTGCTACATATGTTTAGCATGTTAGGCAATGACACAGTAATAGTGAAAATAATCGTTACAATCAATCCAGCACCTTTTACGTCAGGAGAACATCTCAAACAGTTTCACAGGAATTAATTTTTATTCTAGTGACTGAATTTGCAGGCAATTATGTACAGAACATTTTTCCAAAACTGCAAAGCAACCAAATATGGACCAGATCTGGTTTAGGAAACCCATCACAATGCTTAAGAGTTTCCAAACCAGAGTACATGCATCCCACCTACATATGGAAATCTGGTGTATTGGAATGGAATGCACACTCTGTCCCTGGAGGGATAGATCCTGCGTATCCAAATCTAGAGGAAAGGCTTGGGGTCCACAGAGTGTACACTGGGGTACTGCTGGAATATAACCAGCTAAAGCCACACCAGCTTGCCATTGAAAGCTTTTCCGCTGCTTGTCCAAATTGACACCCTACCCATTAGGGGGTTGGCTTTGCAGGGTGAACAGGAGAAGAATCACTGTCTCCCAAAACACACTCAATTTAGTGTTTCCAGGGGCATATTTGGATCTAAATGAGACGGAAGAGACTAACAGACACACCACCATTATGTGGCAGGTGGAATCACAAGATGCATCTGCATGATGTGGACACATGCAAATGCTAAAAGTTGCAGGTCTACAAGACAAGCAGAAGAGAACATGGGGAGGAAATACACGATTAACATGATGAATGAGGGAGGACTGGGAATTATCGGCAAAACTAACATGAATGCAGATCTTGGTCCCCCCTCCTCTACCACAGGCCCAGCAGCCCATTGGACCTGCAACCAATACAAAATAAAGCTCTATTGTGATCACCATATTTCAGGGGCAAACTGAGAGTTGCTGGTTAAAAACTAGATGTCATTTACTTGTATATTGGCATTTTAAAATTACATTTATACATGTTTTTCAGATCCGTTACAAAATCACGAAGGAATTCAATGGTATAACATTAGCACTACCCACGAAAAGCTATGGAGATCAAAGTTAAGTAATTAGCCATTTCACTGCAAGAGTAATAAAGGTTGTGCAAGTGCACACTGGAACAGCTGACGAATGAAACCATCACTGAATGGAGAATCTTTGTAAATGATATGGAGAAAGAAAAAATAGGAGAGAAAACAGAGCCTTGGGGAACATTGAATTGATGGAAAGAAAGTCAGAGAATAAACCATATACAAAAAACATTTTTTGGTTTTTAATCCTTAGTTCTGTTAAGATGGAGAAAACAGTTTGTTCTTTCCAGTGGTAGAAGTTGTAGCAAAATAGGTGAAAAATACAATATGCACTTATATCACACATTTCACATCAAAATGCATCACTGTAGTGCACAAATTTGAATACTGTTTCCAACCTTTTGACCACAACAAAAAGTGGAAAAGGAAAGAGCTCTGACACTTGCCAGGAAAGTTATCAAGTTTAAAGGGTCATGAATAAGTTTATTTTGAGGACTTACCTTTCGGCCTACATAGATAGGGATCCCAACCATCATAAAGGGAACAGCAATGCCAGCAATCAAAGTAATTCCAACTGGAGCACCAACCAACATGCCCACTTGCCAGAGAATTTTCTTTTTCCGGCTCCATGGTTTCTTTCCCCAGAACGTGCAACCAGAGGGACTGCAAACAAGAACATTAGAGTGAGTATGGATATATATATATATATATATCTTTATAAAAGTTGCAATGCCCATAATCATGGATACTTAGAAATTTGTACAAGAGACCCAGAAAAGAAAACTGAAGATTATTCAGAAACTGTGCAAAATTGCTGAATGCATCCAAACATTGCATTTTCACATTCGGCTGTGTACAATTGTGCTGCAGTTCACCAAGCTACTTAAAGTGAAATCCGCATCATCAATTCCATTGATATATAAGTTGTTCCATCAAACTGTGGGACCATGAAAAGGTACAACTTGTGCATTAAGATCTCATGGTATACGATAGTTGGATATCAAATTGAGAATTTTAAATGCTTGGTGGGAAAGTTTCTCTCAAAGAGCAAGGAATATACAATTCAATTGTATTTCAAGAGTTGCCATGTACATAACTAGAATTTGCAAAATTACATTTGGTGAAAACAAAAACCTTCCCATCAAGCAGTCCAAGGTCCGTGAGTGAAGTGGTGAAATGATTGGATTTTAGAATTTATTCAGTGAGTGCTTGTGGCCCACTTAATTGGTCATATCAAAATTATCACATGGCCAGAACTGACTGGCAAGGGTGGATAAGCTAATTTATGCACCACACAAGGACTTACCTGGGAAGGTATCTAAGAATGTTCTATGGTCTGGGCTGAAGGTTACAATTTAAATTGGTGAGCCAACTTGGGCCAAACTATGGAACTCTCAAACGTTCTAATTTACTCATATTTCAAACATTTTCTTCTGCTGTTGGGTTTTCACATGCACTTCGAAGCATCCTGCTGAACAGCAAGGTATCTGCATAGAAAGGTATCATGTTCGCCACTAGATGGCAGAAAATAGAGTATTATACAGTATTATTGACTCAAAAGTGCCTTCATGTCACCTGAAATATTGAGTCAGAAACAAGGATTCTGAACTGTCCAGATAATGTAGACAAATGAATGGCAAGTAACAAGTTAACAGTCATTCAACACCAAGCAGTTTAATGTACTTAAATTTGATATTCTTGTATTTAAATGACATTACATAATTCTTTCAGGTAATATTTTTTATCAGAAATTTTGAGCAACTAACATTTAATGTTATTTTACATTTCATTTGCTGTTCTATTTAATGTAGTACTATTCTGACCATGTAGAATTACTTGTGGACAAAAAAATAATTTTCACTAGTTAAGAGGATAGCAATATCATATTTATATTGAGTTGCTCTGAATTTTGGAAAATGTGCGGCGAGGAGGGAGAAGCAGAGCAATACAAGACAACTCAGACAGCTTAATGATTGCAGACTGTCAACACCCAAATCATGTCATCATAAAAAGAGAGAAAAAAGGGCAACTTCTGGGCTAACAGGTTGCAGCTGACATCACCTTCCCACACACTTGCATCGGCATTATGTGTAGGAAGTGACGCCACTGTCATTTGTAGCATGCTGCAAAGAAATGATCCTGACATGACTTCAGAATAGAACCAGTGCTTCCTGCACATGGCATGTATGAGCAGGAAGTGACATCTTCTTGCGCATTGGAAGCAATATCAGTGACAACCTGAAACCCAGAAGTTGGGTTATGCCTCTTTATAAACACAGTCCTTGAGACGTTGGACTCAGACGACCGCATCATAAAGGAGTTCTTCTGTATTTTGAAAAGGAGAAGAATTAAATGTTACTGAATATAGAATACACAACTCCCTAATCCACCCTGACACTGCAACCTTTGCAGTTAAGAGATCAGTTTGTACGTAGCTATGAAAACATTCATTCGAGCTAGCCAGAAATGGTGAGCAGACAAATCCATTGCAGTTTATACAGTTTATAAACAAAATAATGATCAGCAGTCATCAATATTACTGCGAATGTAGGCTCCCATACCTGAGGTAGTGCAAGTCTGTGATCTCCTTCATACACAGCCAGCAGAACTGGCAGCCACACACAGCGCATGTCATCCTGTTACAGCTCCCATCATTCATTTTCAGGATAAAAGCACCACATCGGGGGCAAGGCTTGATCTCTTCAGCTAAGGGTGGGTAAGAAAAATCTTTACATCTTTCATTCACACAATTACACTGAAATGATTGTAATGATACCACTGAATAGGAAATAGTTTCCATTTTTTAAACTAAATTAACCTTCACATATCTCAAGTGGTTAATGAAGGAAAGGAAACAAATGTAATAAAAACAGTGACTTACACTATCTAATGTACCAATAGTGCCATCTACCCAGCAAGACTTCAAACCAGGGACAATCATTAAGATCCCTCAATGGATGAACATATCACATGGCATAGCATTCAGACATACAGACCAACTTGTCACATCAGTTGATATTAGTAATGTTGAAAAAGTGCCCAAACATGAAAACTGAAGCATAAATAGATCTCAAGCTGGAAAAAGCACCTTGGGATATAGAATGCACTTTGTTGGTTTCAAAACTTGGTTTCAAGATCATCGCACATCAGAAAAATCCTCATGAGATAGAGATGTACCCTATAGGAGACGTAATTTATGTCTAGAAGCACTTTTTCCAACAAAAAGCACTATTTATGTTGCAGTTCTCCAGTATGCGTGTTTGTTTCCAACCCTACAGTCTCCCAACAGGTAGTGAGAGACAGAAAAGAATCAGCTAGGACTTCACCACTTGATCTTTATCAAGCAAATCCTGACAGAAGTACTCCCAATGTGGACATCAGGCAAGGACAGACCCATGTTCAGTTACACATCTTATAGTGGAATAGCATGCTGATATTCATAGTTCAATTTCACATACAAATAAAGAGTCACTTAAGTGAGGTACTGAAGGGGGCTGCAGGTTATGGAGCCCTTAAATGTAGAGGGTACCAGTCACTTGGGGCAACATTTCCCTAAAATGCCTCTCCAAACCAAGTGTTGCAAATGCTCCTCCATGACAATCAGGGGAGCCTGGATTACTGGATTATCCCATTGTAAAAGGCACACCTCCAAGCCACTGGAGGATGCTTTTGCTGAAGGTCTCAACGGCCTTCATTTTTACCAAAGTTGGACCCTCCCAAACTCCGGGCTTTTTAGGCCATGGGCACTCTGCGACCACCATTCCCCCTCCCCTCCCCCCAGACTTGCAGCAACTCCACCCGTGCTTCAATCAGACCCTAGAATGCAGCCTAACCCTATGCACATTGCAATACATTTAATATTTTTCTTACATACTTTTTCCATCAAAGTAATTCTTCACATTCTTAACAATTCTACTGAATAATTGTAATACTTACGAATAGTAAAGTGGAAAATACACTGACTATTGGGGGAGGGGAAGAGAATACCCTTTTATTAATTCAAACAAGTTGACCAGCTCAGCAAACATGTGCTGCAATTGGCATTGGTTAAATAGCTCAGTTTTCAATAAATTGTTCAGATTACGGAATCCGAGATGAAAGATACAGAAACAGAGGAGGGTGGTTACACATCAACCTCATAATAGAAATTTAAAAATAACGCACAAACTGGAACAGTTGACTTTATGGTGACGCTTTGGTCACTTATAGTATGGTGAATATAGCAAGACCTCACAGCCCATCCACTGAAAAGGACAGCTGCTCCATATTGTCGGAAAGATTCCACCTTTTAGCCAGTGGTCACATTCCTAACTAATACTCCATTCATCCTGTAGTTAGTGTAAATACTACATGGCCTTTCCCCAATACTAACATTAAAAATGTAGTATAATTTTATTTTTAAAGAGGATTCATTCCATTGCTGTCTCCAAAATAACTAAGTAAATCTATACGCCCCTCAATTAAAATCTGCATAACTGCACATATTGTCCCATAAATTTCAACAATATCCCCGTCTTAACAACAGACCAAACATCAAGCACTTCTTCACCAATCACAAGAGATTCAGCTGAGGTTATTTTGATCTCATTCTTCTACTATATCAAGCCCACAACCTACCCACTTAATTTTTTTGGGGGGGTCAGTTGAATGTCTTGACAGATATGGAAACCCATCACCATGCTTAAGAGTATTCAAAAAGGAAGGGTTAGGGGGCAAAAAGACACCAATGTTCTGCACCAGACCCAAGCAGGAAGAATCCCTGCTCCCAGCAACTGATCAGCCCCTCCAAGTCTTGCTGACGAGCTGGGCTGGTTGTTTTTTATTTTACATTTTCTATACCATTAAGCATCTTGTACTTCTCAATTATTAATAATAATCATGATAATAATACTTACATTTGATGTAGCAATTTTCAAGTCAGAGGATGCCCCAAAGCTCTTCACAGGACACAAAGTATAGTGACTGGGTGTTTTGTGGATGAACACAACAGCTAATTTATGCACTGCATTGTGCCACCACAGCCATGAAGTGAATGACCAATTTTATTGGGGGGAGGGGGGAGGGTTGTTGGCCAAGACACAGGGACAAACTCCCTTATCTAGGAAGTTATATCAGTGACAAAAAGGGGCAAATTATCTCATCATTCCTCATTTCAAATAGATGAAAAGAAAACAGAGATCAATTAAATATGACTGAACCCATTTCAACATCTAACATTATTAATAATTAATGTGAATATCAGTGTGGTTAAGCACAATTGCATGTTCTTTTTACTACATGCACGGTTTGTTTTGTAAACTCCTTTGAAAGCATGTTTTTGAATTTTGTTTTAAAATGTCTAATTTATTTAAAAGAAAAAAAAGCAATGGAATAGTTACCATTGTCTGATTCTTCACTATTAATAAGAGAGGTAGAGTGTTTTTCTATTCCAGCCATGAATGCATCTCTTTGCTTTCGAGCCTCACTGCAGGTCTGGTCCGGATGCCAGAGCTGTTTACAGTGGTAACAGAATTCTGTGGCACAGCCTGAACGCTCACATATCAGCTTTGGGCAGGTTGCACATCCACTGGCAATGACTCCAAAACTGTGGAAAAAGCCAGTGTTAAAGATCAGTTACATGCCATAAGATACAGGCAAACTTTACATATCACAGTATTACTTGTATGCTACTATTCCAAAACTCACAAGCACTACAGCAGGAACAATATTATTGACTAAGAGTTTTGTAGGAAAGCGGGGGCTATATTGTGCAAAGCCCGTATCCCAAAAAACCTCAGAGACACAGGGGCTTTGCACAACATAAAGGTGTTCCAATCACTAGTTTGTAATAGGTTAAAGTTATCTATAATCTCTCAGTGGTGAATATTCCTTTAAATGATTGCCTAATGCTGATTTTCAGAGGAGATTTCATGAGCCAAATGGCATTTTTTTTTATAAAAAAGGCCACAAATCCTACATTTTGTTGAAACTGGACAAGTCTTCTTACTCAGCATCAACAACTCCTTTGCCCAGAGCAGCAGGGAGTTTTGCAAGCTGAAGCTAAGAAAACACTGACCTGTTTCAGTGACAAATCTTGGCAGTGTTGTGAAGACAACAGCCTTGATCAGGAATTCTATAACTAAGTTTATAAAAAGAAAATGTTTTAAATAACATTGTTTATTTAAAAGACTAATCCTCTACTCATGGACAATACGATTGTATAGTCTGATCGTCGAGTATTCCTTTAATACAGATTTAGTATTAAAATGATTTTAAATAACCATTTGTTATTGTGCATAATCAAACTACTGGAAGCTAGCATTTCCTCCACTCCCATTGCTGGAATGTAACTTGTGGAAGGCTGCCAGAAAGGAAAAGCTTCAAAATCCAGTTGCAAGAATATTTAACAATAACAATAATACAAACAGTTATTTAAAGGGCAAAGAACTTTTTTTTGTCAGGGTCAGTTAAGAGACGTGGTGTGATTCTTTGCAGTGAATATATCCAGCAATTTTTAATCACACCTATTCTTAATATGCTGTCTTAAGAAAACATAAAGGGCAAAAAATCCAAATGTGTGGGAAATGCACAGTTGCAGGATCTCAACCAACCCACGTGGAAAATGACACTTCTGACCTGACTTTTAAAAATAGAACAAATTTGTCATCATCAGGCAGTTACAAGTAGAATTGCAACACCAGATGTTTTGCTTCTAGTATGTCCAGGCCAAGATATGTGTCTTTCTGTTTTTTTCAAAATAAACTAGAGCAGCAGCAGCAGGGGAGAATCAGTTGAGATGCCTCATTCTGTGCCGCTGACTCTTAGGTAAAGACGTTTTGTGCAAGTGTCAGCCTACTTCATTGAGCCCCTACCAGTGAGGTCAGAGTGGCTGAAGAGAAGGCCTTAAAGCAGACTTGTTCCTGTTCTGCATAGAGATACAGTTGACATTTGTGACGTCAGAGTGACAGGATGAGGCAGAGCAGAGGGCTTGGATTCCAAGGTTACCTTGGCTGTTTAATTTGTCACAACAACAACTTGCATTTATATAGCACTCTTCACACAGGGTAGTGTCTCGAATTGCTGAACAGTGGCAGAGCATTGTGCCAAGCTGGGGAGAGGAGGGAGGTAACCATAAGCATGGTCGAAGAGAAAGGTCTTCAGTCATGATCTAAAATCTAAAAATGATCTAAAAGGAAGGGCAAAGGCCAAAAGATTGACGGAGAGAGTTCCAAAGCTTCGGACTTAGTAGCTGAGGGACTGCCGATGGTGGAACGGAGGGAAAAGGAACGAGCAAGAGGCCAGAGCCACCTAAGTGAAAGCTGCATGTGGTGAAGTGGAAAGAAAAGCAGGTTGGATAGGTAGGGAGGCGCTAGGGCATAAAGGGATTTGTAGACGAGTGAGAGGATCTTGAAATTGATCCATTCTGTGATAAGAAACCAGTGGAGCCTGGCGAGGACGGTATGATGGGGGTACAGTTTAATATGGGCGAGTAAGGGGAGTTCTGAATTAGTTGTAGTTTGTGGGTAATAGAGGTGAAGATACAGACGAGGGCACTGGGATAGTCAATGCAGTAGGCGACGAAGGTTTCAGCTGCCTTGGGGGTGAGGTAGTGGCAATGTGACTGAAGTGGAGGAAGGCAGTCCTGGTCAGAGACTGAAGTTGGGAGAGGAACGACAGCTAGGGATTGAAACTGACACCTAGGTTATGTGCAGGTTCGGTAATTCTTAGGGAAAGGCGAGGGAGGTTGAGGAGGTCAGAGCCAGAGGAGAGAAGATATTGATGGTAGTCAATGAGTATGGCTTTGCACTTTGTCACATTCAGCTGCAGGAAGATTGTGCTATCGAGACAAGCTGACAGAACATCAGTGGACCTGGAGTCGCAGCTGGTTGAGAAGTAAATTTGTGTGTCATACGTATACACATGTAAGTTTACGGCATGTCTGCAGATGACATCACCAAGAGGGAGCATGTAAATAAGGAAAAGGAAGGGTCAAGAATGGGGTACCCCGCAGGTGACTGTGTGGGTTTGTGAGGAAAAAAGAGTCTGTGGAAACTAAATGATGGCGATTGGTTAAGTAGGACTTGAACTCGGCGAGTGCTGTCCAACTGAGATGGATGAGGGAGATGAGGCGGTGGAGGAGGACAGCATGATCGACTGTGTTGAATGCAGCGGAGAGGCAAGAAGGCAGAGGGAGCCCTGGTCATAGAGAGAGAGGACGTAAATTGTGATTTTGACAAGCGCTGTTTCTGTGCTGTGGGCAGAGCTGTACCCAGACTGGAGGAGCTGGAGTAGAGAATGAAGGAAGAGGTGTGAGCAAACCTGACGTGCAACAACACGTTCCAGAACTTTAGCAAGGAAGGGCAAGTTGGAAATGGGTTTGCAAAGTTCAAGGGAATCAAGGGTGATTTTTTGAGGAGGGGAGTCATGATAGTGCTTTTGAGGGGGAGGGAGTGGGATGGAGACTGTGGAGAGGGAGTGGTTGACTGTCAACCAGCAAGGGACAGAGGAGGGAGAAATAGAGTGACCAGGAGTTGGATTGGGATCAAGGTAACAGGTGGTGGGCTTCATGTTGATGATGATCGAGAGGGAGGAAGGAGAAATAGGGGCAAAGAAGTGTAGGGTGGGGGCAGTGATGTTGAAAGTGTGGGAGGAATGCTAGGAGACATAAGGGTGGGAGGAAGAGGCGGCACTAGGCGAATGTTATCCATCTTGGATAAGAAGTAGCCAGGACCGCTTCGGACTTTGCATTCAATGTAAGCATCGAGGGTGTTTGAGCGGGCACGCGGAGGCGGTGATGGAGAACAGCACTTTAGGGTTATTTTTGGTCTCCAAAACGGCCTTGGAATAGAAGGCAGTTTTGGCCTGAGAGAGGGAGAGGCGGTAGGAACAAATCTGCTCAAGTTACATTTGGCGGTGAACGTGAGGCTGGTTTTGTTCCAGCCTCATGGTTCACCACTGTAATTTACCTGAAAACGGCCAAAAAAAACTGTAGTAATGGGAATAGAAATCAAATAGTATTTCAAAACAGATTTTTGATGTCCAATTTACAAGTTCAGAATGCAAATGACCCAAAATATACAGTCTCCTACCAAAACAAATCTTCTGGAAAGGGTGTCTGGCTTACACCAATACATACATAGTCAACTTAAATTTCAATGCACATAATGTTATACACTGGTTAGTGTTAATAGAGTTGCATCATCTATATATGTCCCTTCCACTCTAACATGGTGCTATTATGTATAAATTTCATCCACAAAATACAGTCAATTCGTTTTACAATATGCCCTGTGAAGTGCTTTGAGATGTCTCAACATGTTATGGCACTATATCAAATGCAAGTTTTATTATTATTATTAGACTAGAACAGACACAGGGCTGATCCAGCCCCTACATCACCTGCTTAGGTGCACCTCAGTGAAGTCAATGCAACTAAATTTGAGAAGACACCCCGAGTTTGAAAAGTTGAGCAAATCACAACTCTGTTTGCATATTAAATTTAGCCAACGTGGCAAACCCTATAACAAGGGTATGCAAGGGAATACATTTGTTCTCGCTTAAAATTTTACATTCAACCAACAAAGTGAATCCAGCGTTGCTCTTTGATTCTTCCCAGTGCTATTAGAGAAGAGAAATATACACAGAAAACAGTCTACTCAACAAAGATCAGTTTACATTGCCGGACTAATAAGGCATCGGCTAGCAGTCCACCTGGATTACAAGCAAACATACTATACTGTACATTAGGAGTGGTATTGGTTCAGTTTAATTTGTTAAATTATGAAATTAATGAGTCGTGCAATGCAAACACAGCGATTAGACTTTCAGAGGTTCATCTTTGTTCGTGACTACGGCCAGTTACTGCTCTAGCAAACAAACCATGATTTGGATCTTGCAGTGCTATAGCATTTCAGTTTATGAACATTTAGGGTTACGATTAACCAACTGTAATTCCAACTGACCACAACTGAAGTTCAGTTAAAACTGTGGTCGAATGCACTGCTCAGGCAGATTAAAAAGGCAGAATTAATGGGAATATTTAAATAAGAGAGATATTTGGGAAGTAAGGGTACTAACTGAGAAAAAGAAAAATGAAATGAAATTCAATGGATCTAAAATATGGACCAATAAGCTTGACATGTTGAATGACCAACTCCTGTTTTATGTTCTTACCACTCACCATCATGGCAAAAATCTCAAGGCACTTCAAAGTAAATGATTTTATGAGATTTTTGACTCGTTGTGTAGGCAAACACGTGATCTAATTTATGCCAGGAACATCCCACAAACAGCAATGATATGAAAGACCCATTAAAGCTGTTTTTTGGTTACTGCATTGCAATATCTACCCTAATCATAAACTCAAGACCTGGCGTCATCTGTTGACCTTAAATATGCTGCATTACAATGTAGCACTTTCCAGAAGCTGGATTTTTCCTATGTGACATATTTTATCTGAAATTGAATACTGTATTTTATTTTAGGGAACAAAGTATTCTCACAGTACCACAATGAGCATATTACAAATACTTCTTAAGCCTTTTTTTCTAATAGAGATGTTTAGAAGTTACATATAATGATCCAACAGTAAAGACTTACAATGAAGGTGGACAAATTTATAAGACTACTTGCTTTGTTGCAGTAGTGTGAGAGCTAATTTGCTAAAACTAGCCTGGTATTCTGTGAATATATTGTTTTCTGTGAAAGTATTATGAATCAAAGAGAAAAACAAAGAAAGAAATATTAAGCTAACAATGCACATAAAACAAACTTTCTCAGCATGTCATCATTTTCAGCACAGAACATCTTAAAAGAAGAGCTCAAAAGTATGAGTGGAGAAAAAAACGTTTACTTTTTCTTTAAAAAATGGCCTTCAAAAATGCTGCCCTCCCTTGGTTCAGTATCTGATGTCCTGGCCAATTCATCCAAATTCAAGCAAACAGAATTATTGGGTCACCAGCGCTGGTGGGACCAACCAGTATATTTGCCTATTACAAATTACACACCATTGTGGGAAGCACTTCAGTGAAGTTTTGACAAGGAATGGTATCAAAACAAGCATTATAAAACCATATCTAATCTTGGGTGAAAACAAAAGCCTCCAGACAAGTAACCTCTAGCAAAAGGAAACTATTAGAAACCGAAACTTTTTGTAATTCAATGCAAGAATTGATAGGTGAAATGGACTATTTCAGTGTAATATTATATGAAATTGTACATGACAAAAGCAGCCTAAAAGTGGTGGTGTGTATGCAGATTGTCACACTAGCAAAACTGTACATAGTTAAACAGTAACTGGCCAGTCAATTTACTAAATACTATTTGACCATGACCTCTGGAACAAACCCTGTTCAACCCTCTACAAAATGTATTTTTTATGGTGTTATGGTTTACAAAATACTGTGAAGTTCATTGCACTTCAGACATGGTAATTTTCATATACAACCATATCGATATTGGCTAGGCATGGTTGGTTTCAGAATTATTGATAAAGCAAAAACTGGCAAACTGCTCAGACCTGGTCAATGCCAATCAGGATCCATAAGGTCAAACTGGATGTCAAACTGTTGAGACTTGGGGAGGGTGGGGGGGAATGAAAAAATGACTCTGCACTCTTGTCTATGGGTTAAACCGCATCACTTTTACCATAAATAGAACAACCTTATCCACTGTCTACATTTTGCCAACTCTTCCCAGCAGTACTTACCCACAATCAGGCGCAGGGCACCAACGGGCATCTGGATCAGACGCGAGGAACCTTCGCAACATAAATTCTTCATACTTTTCCATTAAAGCATCATTGTTTAGAATCATACGAATATCCGATGGATGAAACAACTCGCAACATTCTGGACAGGCAACGTTAACTCTGCTTTCAGAAATCTCAATTTTCAGGTACTGTTGTAAGCAATCCAGACAAGAACGATGATGGCAGGAGATAATCTCTGGGAAGTGGGATCGGGGCTGGCTGAGAAGGCAGAGTGGACACTCTAAAGTGCCCAATAACTGTTCATTGCTGGCTGATGTGGAGGAATGAATCGTCTTGTTGGCGCAGGGCAGCTTTTTCTCATCCTCACTTTCTGGCTTTTGATGTACTCCATCAACAGCAACTGTGGACATTTCTAGCTTTGACTTTGATTTAGGTTTCCTACTAAAGAGGCTGAAGAATTGGAGTTGTCGATGTTTATTTGGTCTCTTCATGATCTTGAAAGTACTCAGAAGTTTAAAAACAATTATGAGTTTCTCCTTTTAATTGCTTTCAAGAAAATGTTTTCCCACACAGTGTATAAGTTCAGAATCAAACACCAATAAAAAAAGAACAAGTTGCCTTCTCTCTTCTTGAGAAATCCAAGATGTTTTCAAGTATAATTGACCTTACAGACCAGTTTCCCTTTTGCTCAGTCAAGCATGCAAAACTTGAACTTGTCACATGAAGCATTAATTACAGCCCTAATTTTAAACGGTGCACCAATGTATAGATATGCATAACAGGTCCAGTTACGAGTTAACTCTAGATACCAATAGTAGCCCTTAATGGATTTCAATGGACGTCATCTTGCGTAAGTCGAAATATCCATTTTCACTCTTACACCTGGGGAAAAATTAAAAGCAAAGGGTCAATTATTTACACAAGAAATTGCAACATTTTAGAACAGTATAAGACATCAATTTTAAATGATTTTATTGCAACAATTTTAAAAATTTTAGAACAGTATAAGACATCTTTAAAAGTCAACTAAACTTGGGTTGTTTTGGTGGAGCGTGAAGTTCCACTTCAGTGATGTGAACAAGGAATGCTGCCCACAGACATGAGCTTATTGGATTGGAACTTCACTTGGCACATTGGAAGAATTGTACACCCTCAATCCCAGACTGTCTCTAACTAGCTATGTTAAGGTATAAAAGATCTTAGCAAGGGATGATCGACACCAGTAAATTTACATTGCGACATCTAGGATTAACTGACAATTCATAGAGACTATTTTCTCTATCAATTTTACTCTTAAGCAATAAATAAAGTCAAATACGTCTGGACCACAGCTGGCTCAACAGTACGAATGATTCTCATTCCAAATACTATATAGAGGACATTTTACCTATTATGGGGTTATAACAGCAGTTACAGTTTACAGTACTGTCACTTTTGACAGCACTGTAACCCATTGCAACGTAAAAATGATTCAACTTCTGCTATGATCAAGATCGAAAACCTGAAGCATCAGCATACCCTTAAATCAAAATCATAAGCTGTTAATGGCCAGGGAGCATTAATTTACACACAAACATTTTGCCAATGAACATTATCAATCCTGTAGACAGCAGAATTAGCAATAACTCCCAAACACTAAATCGGTCTTTACTCGAGTACTTGCTGCTTAGCAAAGCGTTAGTCATTTATTTCTTACCAGTTCCTCCATGTTAACTACGATTCTTACAGCACTTGGTTGATGTGAAAGTAACAAAAGCCAGCAGCCTTATTTATAAGACAACTGGAATCACTCCATAAAATCCTTGGCTCAATTTCAGATTGGAGCTCCACAACGTAGAGAATTAAAGCACAGTGATTTTACAGGACCCTCGCCTCAGTTGTGAAGCAGTACAACTAACGCCAACACTTACTGATGCTGTTTATAAGGGATTGATTTAACATTTCTGAAGCTTTTATAAAGGCTTGAAATCCATAAAACCATGACATAAACAAACTTCAAATATGTATAGGAAGACCCCACTAGACCAATGTCATTCAAGTTAAAACCAATATCGTCAATTTTAGACACCAGTAGCTTAAAGAAAAATAAAGTTCAATTATTTTATAAAACAAAATGCCACGGTCTCAGGTTAACCTCAATACCCATTTCCAGGTAATTGGATGGGAACAATGCTGTTCTTTTCACAAACACATAATAGAAATAATGTTTTCATGCTGTGCCAGAACACAATCAAAAAGAGGGGAAAAAATAAAAAATAAAGTCCACGTGCACCTAGTCTGCAGATGCAGAAAGTGAACTCAAATGGAAGTACTCTTAGCATTCTCCAGATTGGTCAGCAAATGTGGAAAAACACAGAGAATGTGGAACTTACTGTCAAAAGCTGTGGCTAAAGAAAATGGCATCAATGTATTTAAGATAAAATGTGATGCATACGTGAGGGAGAAGGGAACAGAGGGGCATAGGAGGGGTGAGGGGCTTGTATGAACTATAACCAACAGGACAAACTGGATGGGCTGATGGACCTGCTTCTATGTTGCATCACTATGTAACACCATTTCGTTCCACCACTAACTCTAAAATGGTTAACCAACAAAAGATAGATTATACTAGGTTTGTTATCTATATTCATAAGTAAATGTTGCCTCCCAACTTGCTCGTTTTAAGATCTGAAGTCAAGAAGTGGTGTAATTTTAGAAAGCAAGTCTCCAAGGAAAAAATCTTTAGCAGTCTCTCATCTTTCCATCTGTACAATAATAATACTTGCATTAAGACAGCCTGGTGAGCCATTCTTGGCTGATCATCCATTCTACAACTCCGCTGTTTGTTTAAGATACAGCTTTCATTATTTACTATCCTTGCACAAAACTTTCCTGGCAACACAAACATTTTTCAGTGAGCTATTAACTGCTTCTTTGGGCTGCAATTTTTTTCTCAGAGGAGCAAGTGGCCTCAATAAAATATCCCAAGTATGTGTTTGCTTGAAATACTCCAGGCAACTAAAATGTTCGTCCATTGCTGCTGTTGCAAGCATAGATTTCTATATAATAGAAGCATGACAGGCAGAATGGCCTATTCTTATACAGCTCAACATGACTGAAAAACAAAACAAAGTTTCAGCAAGAAACCTTGTTCTTACCAGTCATGCAGGTGAACATCGCAAAGAATTCGACAAGGATGGTGTGGAATACCAAGCAAGGTGGAAGGGATAGTGGTAAAATGACCACAGGCTGTCACTGAGGTGCTTTTTTAGAAAAAAGCAGTACATTAATGACTGAAAGAAGGTGTGAAGTACTGAAGTAGATAATTATTTTGGGAGGACACATTTGCAGGGCTATGGGGAGAGCGCGGGATTGAATTGGATAGCTCTTTTCAAAGAGCCGGCATTGACACAATGGGCCAAATGGATTCCTTCTGCGCTGTATGATTCTATTCAGGGAATTTGTGAGCGACATTCCAGAGAGCGGAAGTAGTATGGCTGAAATCTCAGCTGCCAACAACGAATGGGAAGGGGAAAGAGGGAAGTGTAGCAGGCCCAGGCTTGCAGAGTGAAAGGAATTGGTATGCTTGACTAAAACTAAATTAACTATTAATAGAAATACTACATCTAGAGTATTTGCAAATAAAAAATGCACTGCCTCAGGACATCCTCCCGACATGAAAAGTGCTATACAAATGTAATTTTTTGTTGTTGATAGGAGAGTGGATGGATTGATCGCGGTTTAGAGTTGAGCAAGGGCAGGGAGAAGCTGACGTTTAGCACAAAGATGTTGATGTTGATTGATATGGTAATGGAAGTCACTGGAGCCTTAAGGATGGGAGTGATGCACCTTGTGTGGAAGAGGATAGGAAGTGGAGTCCTGTAGCTCAGTGGTTAGAGCACTCGCTTTGCAAGTGAGAGACCTGAGTTCAATTCCAGGCAGGGCGAAACCTTGGGCAAGTTTCCTTACTCCACACGCCTCATAATAATCCCTCCAAAAACCCAAAACAATAATAAATTGGTCATTTTCAATCTACGACTGTTTGTGGGACATTGCTGTGCGCAATTGGCTGCCGCGTTCGCCCACAAATATACAGTCAATTCATTTTACAGTGTGGTCTGTGAAGCGCTTTGGGCCGTCCTCCCAACGTGAAAAGCGCTATATCAAATGCAAGGATTATTATTATTATTATTATTGTTAAAATGGAGCAGTCTTACAAGTCTGTTAAAGATTTCTTCCAATACTGAAACAAATACTATGAAATAATTCATTATGCTTGCTCCAAACTAAATTAACTGTCAATAGAAATGGATGGTACGGTACATCTAGAGTATTTGCAAATTAAAAAATTACAAAGTTTCTTATAGAGTATCTTCATTTGGCACACTGAGTACACACACAACTCTTACAAAAACACTGTGCGTGTATATATAAGAATCAAGACAGAGATACACATGTCAGAATTTACAGCTAAATTACCACTTTTTGTACTCCAAATTCCTTGGTGTTCTGCATTGAAATATATTATCAAGCTATTATGTAAAATTAATCTAACTATGTAAGTATCATACATTCAAGTATTCTGTTCGAGGATATATGGGACTTTAACCCTTAAGAATGCATTTGATTAATATAAACAACAACTTGCATTTAAATAGCTCCTTTCATGTGGATAGCATCTGGGAGTACTTACTTTTATATCTTACAGAATTACTTCTTCAGAAATCTCCACTGAAGCGATTAGTGCGAACACTTAATACTGTATAACTGTTTTTTCAAATAATCCTCTGTGCGACTTTTTTTTCAATGACCCAAAAGAATTCAAAAAGATTTACAATTTGATAAAATCCTAAAAGCAATGTGACAAATTGTAGAAGCATCAAATAGAGCTGGTTTAAAACCTACCACAAATCTTTCGAAATACAAAAATGTTCATTCAACAGCAAGTGGTTAAAGTTTTGTTCGAAGAACTGCTGCAGTCAAAAAGCTGTGGTGAAATGCAAAGGCTGGACGCTCGATGTTCAGTTAAAGCAAAAGCTTCAGGACAACAAGTTGATAAGTTATTGGGCTGGAACTAAACGGTCCAACAATGTCATGCAAAACAAACAAAAAAAAGTTACTTAGCTTCTTTCAGAGGCTTATTACAAAAAGCTTACGTAAGCAGCTTCCTGCATCTACAGAAACAATGCAGCAACGCAAACATGGCTCGGTACCAGAATGCACTTCACGCATTCATCACTACTAGCTACGTAGTTAATAATTGGAAAGTTAGAATACAAGAAACACATTGAACTAAAAGGGAAATTTGGTTCACGTAGCTTGCTCCTGTATGATCCAGGCAATTAAACCTCTCCAAGCACTTCATGCTTCACTTCCCTGTTCTTGAAACTGCATATTATTTTTAAATACAACCCACAGTAATACTAACGCTAACTCATCTGTTTTTCCTCTATCAAGTACTTCCATCTAACCCTTATTTTTAAGCAGTTATACACTAATTAAAATGGGTGCCAATCTTTCTAAATCTCCAGCTGTGAGAAAAACTGAGTCAAGATTTTTTTCAGCCATGTAACAGCAATTTAGCTGTGAGGTCATTCAACCAGTTACAGGATCTAGCAACAAGGCAACATCATGGTAGTAGGACATACTGTCCTTTCACTGTTATTGAACAAAGGAGCTAACAGGAAGTGACTGCAAGCACGGTCAAAGCAGTTGGTTTTTGCATAACTTTTGAAGTCAGAAGAGACAAGGCCAAGAATTGAGGGTGCGAGCTCCAGAGGGCGGAAAATAGTGGCTGAACATTTGGCCATCGATGGTGGTGCAGAGAATGCACGGCAGGCCCGATAATAAATTATCCCTTACATATAAGGGACAGCACATGGTATAGCACATCTGATGGTGCTTAACCACGTTTTTGTAAAGTATAGTTGTGGACAAATGTGGCAGAAAACTGGTATATAGTGATGTCTCACAAACAGCATGACGTAAACGTCTACTTTGATCTGGAGGACTGTTTGCCAGGACACTGGGAAAAGTTCCCTTCTCTTTTCAAAGAGTGCTGTGGGACCATTAATGCCTACCTGTACAGACAGACCAGGTAGATGGGATCTCAGTTTAATTTCTCACCTAAGGGACAGCACTTCTGAGAATGTAGTGCTCCCCCAGTACTTCTCCATTGGCTTGGAGTGCCAGGCCAGACATTGATGAGGAGCTTGAATCCACAACCTATTGACTCAGAGGGAGAGTGTTACCAACTGAGCCAAGCGGACACACAGCCACAGTACCCGATTCAAGTACAGTATCAAATGCACCAATTCACCCTCCATTCAATCATGCTGAAAATAATTCCTTATCCAAATGAAAAATGTTCCAGACATTAACAAGTAGTCAACACTTGCCAAAATTTCACAACAGCAATTTTCAAAGCCAAAATAAATTATTGGTGAAAAATAAGTTTTTGGTCATTTAGCTTATATTGTAGTCTATTTAACTCAGATACCTGGCAAGTCCATGAAGTAGCCTTGCTTTTGTGGATGACTATATTTTCCATTCACACTGGAAAATAACCTACAGTTTACAACAATAAAGCTACTCACGCATCAGGAGAACTATTTCTATACTGTCTCTCACCTATGAAACTAAACAAAGAATTAAATGAAATTTTGGCTAGTCATCACGACTCCCGCCTCTTATCTTTTCTTCTTATCCTCCCGATGTCGTTTAAATTTAAATGTTTCAGACCAC